AGTTCTTGTTTTTCTCGCTGAGCGTGGTGGTGAGCAGTCTTTGCAAACTCGTCTATGAGATCGTTAGCCTCGCTGGTGTGCAGTCGAAGGTTTTCGACAGATTCTCTATCACTGTGGACCTGCTGGTATCCTATTATTCCGCTCTGCTGATATTCTTTTTGGGACTGAATCGCTTTGCTGCTTTCTCTTCGCCGTATCTCCGTGAGCACCTTATGGGAAGGTAGGATTAAAAAGTTAGATCATGTGAATCCGGTGATTCATTATACGCATTCAGGAGGACTCTGCTCTGGATCCTTCTCGGACTGCTTGTGTTCTCTTCCGTCATTACCGTCGTAATCTTTGAAATCAGTGGAATGCGAAGAATTTTCAATCAGAATACCATCACTGACTATGCTAATAAGTGCATTTTTGTTCAGGTAAGTACACAGAGCATAAAAATTCAGCTGCTTGTATTCATCATCACGTTTTTTCACTAAGAGTAGAGTGGAATTCGACAATGATGCCAGACTCAGCAGCAACTTTATAGGCGTCAAGCTACATATTCTACACACTTCCACTTGCATCTTCTATTTTCTATCTCTCGCATACAAGTCGCTACGCTCGAAGAGAGAGAACGTTGTCAGTGATGTTACAAAGTCTCTCCTGGACCGAGCTGAGAGATGTAACTTGAAACAAGGAATATGGATTCTCGTGACCTATCTGGTATTTACCCTTTTATATGTCGAAGGTTGTTATAGTAGCACCGACCAGTTGTATTCAACGGTGTATGGTTTTCATGGTAGTTTCGTTTGAGGGTCCTGCCCGCGATCAGTTATAGAAGTTGAAATATGGCGTCGGAAGAGTAGTGTGGCCCGCGAGGGACCAAATTGTAGCGGTTTCGCGAGCAAAAATTGTAAGGGAGGGCGCTATAGCGCAATATAGGTTCAGTGACGCCTCCCTTTTCCAGTGACTCCGCCTCCAGACTCCGCCCCAAGGCCCGCCTTTCAGTGAAAAACGAAGCTGCAGGACGAAAAAGCATGAAAATCGTCACTTGTACGGTCGTAGAGTTCTTATCGGGGCAGCTGTGCGGATGGGGGCGTAGTGCTGAAAATGGAGTTAATTGGGCACGTGCAAAATGGGATCAGAATCGGGGTACAGCATCGTTGTGTGAACACATAGGGGAGGGGGTCGTACTTTTTTCTTGAGAAGAGGGGTCGCATTTGGTCGTAGGGAGAGGGGGGGTCGTAGGTGGCTTTAGGAGAAATTCGCCGTGCTGGGAAAAAATCTTCTCGGTTGTTTGACTTTTCGTGATTTTTCCTGTTTCATGTGTACTATTTACCCCCTCCCCTTCCCCGCTTGACAGCAAAATTTTTGGGGAAAAGTAGGAAAATTTCTGAAATT